AAGGCTACAATTTTCTCGTATGGTTATTTTGCCTTCTACTTTCATAATATGCAACAATGTTTCCAACGTACAATGACAATTGCTAAACATTCTGGAAACCCGATCTTTTTATTACATTTACGTGCAACCGTAAGTGGATATAGTTTGTAGATAACCTAAACGCTTAGAAAAGAGTAGAAAACAGAACAGACATTGTGGGTAGAGTGTTTTGATTCAAACTTCGGCAACTTTTAAGAGATTTGTTAAAGGTAGGTATTTTTGAAATAAAAAAATACAAAAGTTCAGCTGATGTATATGAAATAGAGTTTTAGAAGAGATGCTTACCTCAGGTACATATACTGATAATATTTGGCAATGAATACAAAACACGTGATAATAAAGCCAACTTTATAATGGTAAATGCAGAACTTCCTTGTTTAAAAACTAATGCACATCTAGTTGTTTTAGTAAAATCACGTATAATACCTGGTTGTGGTGAAATAAATCATTTCTCAGTGTGTATGGATAAACTTACAAAACGTTACTAAGGATTATGTAGAAAATAAAATTGTAAACGTAATGGATTTCCTCCATAGAAAGGAAGGAATGATGGAATAAGAATTCCTAATTAAAGTCAGGGAAAAAAATCAAAGTAGTTAATTGCTGGATCGTGTCGTACAACACCTTTTTATGCTTAAACTACAATACCCATATCGATGTTGATGTTTGTTCAAACGTTAAAGCTGTAAAGAATTAATATTTATATCTTTACAAGGGTTACAATTGTGCAAACATTCAAATTAAAAGACAAATCCAAGCAGACAATTTAGAATAAATTCAAGATTTTTTAGTGCGTTAGAAGGTGTTTGGTGCTTTTTATATTGAAATGGATGGCAATCACTTACCATAATGAGGTCAGGTGTGCCTTTACCAATGTAACAACTATTGTTTGTTGTTGTTGGACAAAGAGAGCAAGCACTACTGAACGAGTCTAACCAAGAAACAATGTTAATCTCATGGCATAAGCTAAATCAGAAGAATTTCTCATACATGGACATTCATGTGTGAAAAATCCAGTAAGGCTCTGAAGGAACAAAGACGAGGTTCAGAGGCCATCATTTGTCACCTCTGTTCTGTAGGTCCCTCTCAAAAGGAAGTATATTATCTGAGATTGCTTTTGATACACGTGAAAGAAGTTGTTTCGCTCGAAGTGAAGTCCATTAATAGAAGGACTTGTTCTTCTTTAAGAGACGCAGTTAGAGAATTAAATCTTCTTGACGATGATGCAGAATGGAAAAAATCCTCGAGGAAGCTGCAACTTTTAAGATGCCAAATCAAATGAGACATTTTTCATATGTATGAGTTTTCTGTAATTCAGAAGATCCACGAAAACATTACGAAACATTTTTAAATTATATTGTCTAAAATTTCATTCTTACTCGTGACAACTTATTTCCGAAAATATAGATTTTATTGATGCAACATAGTAAAAAAGTAGTGACAACGAAATTACACTTCCGAAAAGAGAAGATATGTTCGACGAAGAATTAATTAAAGAAGATATGATCAAATAAGAATAATATTACTAAACTTGCTGTAAATTGAGAGAGTGATTCCAAGACATTTTTTCTAGATGAACCAAGAGAAACACTTACATATGCTTAATGCATATATTAAGAGGAGAAAACAAATAACATTAACAAATTTCCTGGACTAGAATTACTGCCCATTTACTACCAGGAAGTAGAAAAACTCGCTCTGCATTTCAATTTTCAGAGTCTCTTTAAGAAAATTCTGTTTCAAGAATTATAACGAATATGTAGAATTATTGAAAAAGGCTTGATTAATTTTATAAAATGAAGCGTCGATAACAGAAAGCATTGCCTTAAATGGCTTGGATATAGTACTTAGAGACGTCAGTGAAAGAAATGAACTGTATGGAAGCCAAATTATTGTATTTGGTGGATCTCACTGTACAATAATTGAAACATCGGTAAAATCTTGGAAATTTTGGGCCGAAAATGAAACAAATTAATATCTGTATTCGAAAAAAAAAAGCTTATCGAATGGTTACTAAATCTTGAAAATAAGAAAATAGAATAAATTCCTAAATTACAAGAAGAATATTAGGTGAATAAATGTTTTATAAAAAATGAATACCAGAAAATGTTAAAACATAAAAAAATAGAAAAGTATTATTTCCCAAAATTATTTAAAAATCAAAAGAAATGCGGTAGAAAACAATTTAATAAGAGAATCGAAAACTTATTTTCATAGGGACAGCATTGTCACTGATGATCGAAACGAACAAAGTAATATACCAACAGAATATATCAATAGGCTAACCCCTGCAGGCTAACCGCTACAGAAGATGATATTAAAATAGGGAACAATAGTCATGTTGATTAGAAACTTAGACATTAAGAGAAATATAGTATATGGAGTTCGCCTCATAATAACAAATCTTCATATTAATACCATTGAAACGGAGATATTGAGTTTTGATCTCAACAGTCCAACAATTCCACTTAATATCAAGCGAAGCCAGTTTTTGATAAGAATCGCTTTTGCGATGACTATAAATAAAATTCAAGGCCAAACGTTCCATAAAACAGGACTAGATTTACCGAAAACAGTTTCTGTCATGGAAAGGTTTATGTCTCATTTTCGAGACTCAGAAGCTTTAAAGATATCAAAGGAAACTTGTAAATAGAAGTTATTAGACTCGAAATGTTGTCTACAAAGAAATTTTGCAATATGAATCATATACAGAAAAATGAGAGTGCAAATAGTATTAGCGCATATTGAGGGGGTAATGCTACTGTAGGTAATAAAACCAAAGGAAAAAATGTGAAGCATTATTAACTTTAAGATGTATTAAGATAAAGTAACAGATTATAGTAACTGAGGTCTTATGTGTAATGTTGGCGATATACTTTCATTGAAACAATTGAAAAAAAAATCATTTTAACATATATTTTCTGGTTCTCCAGGGGGTTAGCGCTAAGTTTGATTTTCTGCGATGTACAGAGTACAGATATATCCTGCTGTGTAGCTTTCCACTCAAAAATAAAGAAAAAAACGTAATATTTTGCCTCCTGTAGCTCAGAAGTAATGATGAGGGGTTTTCACGTTAGAAATCGGATTTCGATACGTATTAAGGGCTGAGCACAGATAGCCCATTGTCTAGCTTTGTGATTAACAACTTGAAAACGCTAACTGCAGAAAACAATTAAAGCTTTATATTTTTGTAATAAGAAAAACAAAATTAAATAGATCTATTAACTCTACGATGAGCAAAATGCTTCAAGTATGATTTATTTTATTAATACTTCCATGTTGAATTTCCCTGAATAAAGAATTAACATTTTTTCAGATTGATAAGTCGGTTATAAGTGTGAATGTTGGATGTGTAGTGTCCTTATAGTGAATAGCTGCTTTTGTAACGCTTACCTTCGCCATATAGAATGCTGTTCGTCTTTGAACAGGAAAAAGTCTTTCACTCTGATAATAGGCTAGGAAATTTTCCATGGTTTATCTTGAGGGTAGTATCTATATATTAACTTATAAAAGTATAATTTTAACTGTAGGCTCTATTTTCCAAGGTAGGAAATATGCAGACAGGTAATACATCTGTTAACAAGCTGGCTGGAAAAACCCACGCAACTTTTTAAGCATCAAAATCAATCCGGGTGGCAAACTTCTAGATGCTTCAAATGTTCAGCTACTCGCTATATCATCTATCTAATATAACAATTCTTTTTAACTTGGAGTAATTTTCAATCCAAATCGCAGACTACAAAGCTTATTGCTGAACAAAGACAAACTAATTCTAATTCTGAATCTGAGGGTGGTAGCTATATACTCGACTATATCAGGAAGAATAAACGCCATTTTCGTGTGTTTAAAAAAAACAAGAAGGAAGTGAAATGTCTCCGGTTTGTTTAATGGCAAACTGGACGTTCAATATCAGGATTTAATCCCTTTAAGAGGAATAGCAAAGATACTCGATTGTGCAGTTTTATATTTAACAGTTAAATGGGTTTTCAAAAACCAATAAAATAAATGTTAGTATACTGTGGATCGTCTTCTGACACCACTTTATAGTAGACCGTTTCTGACATTACATTATGGTAGTCCGTTTCTGACATCACTTTATTGTAAACCGTTTCTGACACCACTTTATAGTAGACCGTTTCTGACATTACATTATGGTAGTCCGTTTCTGACATCACTTTATTGTAAACCGTTTCTGACACCACCCTATTGTAGACCGTTTCTGACACCACTTTATTGTAGACCGTTTCTGACACCACTTTATTGTAGACCATTTCTGACACCACTTTATTGTAGACCGTTTCTGACACCACTTTATTGTAGACCGTTTCTGACACCACTTTAAAAAAGACCGTTTCTGACACCACTTTATCTCAGTCAATTTTGCTACGATAGTACTAAATACACACTTCGCTTTCTCTTCAGTTTTATTAAGATTGTACTTATTTTTATTGGGAATTGAGTCAAGTAAAATCTAAGCATAACAAACTTCTGCCTGTTGCTATATCAATAATACATATATTTATAACTAGTTTTGGTTATTACTGGAAGCATATTTTCCTTCGTCTCCCCTCTCTCGGTTTATTCATCGCGCTCACATCTCACGGTCTCCTTTACCTTTCTCGTTGCTTGCCCTCTCTTTTATTTATCTTTCCCCAAACTATGCCAAATACACCAGTTTGCCTTATTCTAGATTTAAAAAGTTTCATAATCAGAATGATTCTTGTAGCTGTCAAATCCATTAAACTTAAAAAGGCGTCCGTTTTGCTAATATTTTAAGAACAACCGATTATTGTGCGGAACTTCATTATATAGTATAGTTGTATAATAAATGAGTAACGAAGTATTAGTAATCGGATTATGAAGTTAAATAACATTTTCATTATACGTATTTGCAATCTAGGAAATCGCATATTTAAAAAGGAAAATATTGTAAAAAATCAAAAGATACAAGTTGAGCTTACCTTTCTTTCAGATAAGGAATAACAGTCGGCATGACCGGGACGAGTAAAGACACCGGTACCAGCCCATGCCCGCCAAAATTCTAAAAAAAGAAAATAAAATAAACATTTCGGATTGCTTTTTATATCATAATAAATTACCGAAAAATAATTTTCAAGGCTACAACGTTTTAAAAAATCAGTCAGCAGGAAAATATATTAATATGATTAAAAATTAAAACACACATGAATTTTTGTTGTATTTCAACTTTTTATCAGCTCTTACGTTTTTTCTGACTAAACTATTTTTTTCTAAGACTCTGAATCGACTCTTATAGGCTTGTATAATTTAAACTTTATTTACCTTGTAATATATTTGTATTAATCATGTTTAGCTTATTCTTATAATTAGTTCAATAAATTAAGTAAAATTTAAGTATTATTCTTTGTAATTTAGATTATATTCATAAAATTTCTAAAATTTTTTTTAGCTTCTATTAAAAACAGTTCTTGAAAATTACTTTGAGATTTTGTAGTATTATTGAAAAAAAATCAAATTATGGTTAGTGTAAATACGTGAGTCAGAATGGTATAGCGTTTTCTATTATTTTGTTTCTTTCTTACATATAGCTTACAACTTGCCATTAATTTTATAGTATCACTTAGCTCTTCATTTCCATAGTATTTTTTTCAAGTCGTAATATTAACCTATAGAAAATTGGTGTATGTTATAAAGTGTTAATCGAAAATTATCAACATATAATGAATGATTTTTCTGTATATGTAGCTGTACTTTTAGGGTTAACGCTCATAAAAAGTTGTAAAATTCCTTATTTGGCCAGTAAATAAAAAACTTGAATAGGCATATTATTATTAATATATTTTTATTAATAATATTATTATTATTATTATCATAATATCATTATTAATAGGCATATCTTATTGTGGTACCTTATAATCATGTATTATTGTGAAAAGATAGCTTCTTCATACATATAAGGAAGCTTCATCAACGTAACTGTAGTAATTGTGAAAACGAGAATAAGTATTAAACGCTTATAATATAAAATGATTTATTGCAAGATCTGTCATTATCTTCTTCAAATTGAAAGCTCAATTTCTGTATTCTATGTTCTTATTCTACAGCTTGAATACCTGCTCACAGGGTGTAGTTTCTTTATCTCAGCAGGTTTACCATGATATATAGTTTATACAACAAGACAAATAGTATCATACATTAAGAAGGACAATATCTTATTAATTATAACACTTTTGTTAAATAAGATGCAAACTATATCAAGAAATAATTACAAATGAAATTCAAATACTTTTGTCTTGAAAAAGGAAGGACTGACATATCACTTGGCATATTAATCTAATTTGTTAATTCGTTATTTGCAAACAATAAAGGTTGAAATTACTAAAGAATATCAGGGGGTGTAATAGAAGCAATATAGTTGATCGGTTTAGCTTTTAACAGTAGTAATTAATCAGATATAACGTAATTCGATTGAAGAAACAAAAAGGTATTTCCCTAGATCGAATTAAACTAAAAAGTCCACAAGTTATTCACTGGTAAGTTCCAGAATTATAATGTAAAAAAATAAAGAGTTTCAAATTCCCAGAGTAGTCAGATAGCCTATTTTTGTGTATATTTTTTGTTGACACTAAAACAGGCAAAATAGTTTTTACTGTTGTTTTATAAAATAAGTTATTTTTTGTATGTTTTTTGAGTCATTTATATGTTATTTCATTTTAATTATGGTGTTTGATTTAATTCCAAAAGAAATATCTTCTGGGTATGTTTAAAATGAAATATTACTTAGAAATAATGTGTTCTATTTCTATAAATGATATTAATGCAACATAATGAACTCAAAAATAAATTTGAAAAAATCTAGAACCTTCATATGTATATATATATAAATTTGTTTTATTTAAATCCTTGACCAATCTAACTCTGCGCAACTGAAATCATTTCTCCTTCTGTGTTATAGAGAAGTCAAAAATTATTTGAATTGAATTACTAAAACACTCAATGCGAGATGTTCACAAAGTTGCAAAGAAGTCATCTCGACAATACACAAAACCAAAACTTTATAAATACTCCAAACCACAATACTTTACTAAAGTACTTTACTTTCTGAAAATGTTTTCGGGAACAATATTTGGAGTAACAGCGAAAAAGGTTTCTAGCACTTTATACAAGTATTTTTTCACTAAAAATAACTTACCAACAAATGGTGACTTTTTACGACACTGTTTTTCTTCTAGTAGCTCGATCATTACAGTAATTAGTCGATGTAACGATGCCTTTATTCTACATGACATTGTTGCACTCGAAAATATATTCATTACATCATTCAAGACATCAAACACTTCATTTATAAGATAAGGTACTCTGAAAAGGCTACAAAATATACAAGATCTTAAAGAAACACTTTAGAAACAGGGTTTAAAAGAATCTAAGACAGTCTTATGTCTACTTTTTTCCATGCAACTGGGACGTGTTCCTAACAAACAAATAAATACCCATAGAAGTAGTTAATTTAGTGAAATATAACAACCTATATGAGACTTATTTTGAATCCTCAAAGAAGCAATCGAGAAGAAGTTAGAAGTTACGATACTTGAGAGAAACATTTTAACATCAAATAAGATTATATTAGGTTAACTATGTAAAAATAAGCACCCTGGTAATATAAATAATTCCAAACACAAATTGTCAGACATTGAAAATTTTATCACCATAATCATGTGAAACTTCTAAAATATTATACGTACTACGCTGTATGTTCGTACTTTTAATAGAAATATGGTGAAAAATACACTAAAAAAAAGAAAATAATGATAATACAGGTAACTTAAAATTGAAGAGAAGGCTGTTTTAGATACTTATGAGGAGAAGGTGAATATTAAAAATTTTGAAGCGTATTAACTCATATGCAACAAACTTGAATATAAGTCAATCTTGAAATTTAATATTTCAACTTATTTAAGTAATCTTTACTTGAAGGTGAAAATATGATTAACTCGCACTTCTTTTGATTCATTTTTCTTTAGATTTATTAAGATTGTACATGTAGTCGGTAACTTAGTTCCCTCAAAACACGAATATTCAATTCATGGAGTCTAGTTGAGTAGAAAGTATAAAAGAAATGTACACTAACTATAATGAACATATTGAACATGTCCCGTTATATCTTGAGAAACAGAATATCATGAACATACATTTAGTGTTTAGTATCACCATGTAAAATGAAAGAATTAATAAACTATATTTACTGACTTTTAAATTCAGTGACATATCAAAGCTAAGTAAAAGGTCATGATGTGTCAAACTAAATATCCAATAATGTTGAAGTGTCCATATTGTTCAGAGTATTACTTCTGTCGTTTACGTTCAAAGTTAATGAGTCTCAGATAGAAATGAAAATAACACCTGTACGCAATTACTTTTGCTAGAGATCTGTCAACATATGCCTAAGGATATGTGAAAATATTTACAGAAATGTATGAATATTAGTTTTCATTTCTACAATAATGATTAAACATAGATAATCACGTAGATTCTTTTAAAATTAACTTTAGTGGTACAATTATGTAGATCGACTTATACAGCTAAACATGAAATTTAAGTTATTGTATATTATTAGAAATTTAAATAAACGTCCTTTTCAGGATGAAGATATGTAAAATTGTGTTATACATTGTAGTAATTATAGAAATATATAAACAAATGAATTAGTAATAAATGTTTTACATATAAAACATTAGAAAATGTAAAAGTATGTTTTCAAATTAAATATAAAAATGAAAACTATAATTATATAATACAGTACGTTGAATGCACTAGAAACATCACCTGCCTTTGTAAGCACACGTGATGTAGTTAAATATGTAAAAAAACTAAAAAATATGTTCAGATAAGTTGAAATCCGTATGCAGTCCTACAGAACTACAGCAACACTGCTCTTAGTAACACTATCCAGTAATAGTAACAACATCTACTTTTGTAAAATGTATGTAATTCAATTAAATATATAAGTGAAAACCATAAAGTTGACGATAAAGATAAAAATTAGAGATTAAAATAGCAGATTTAATGCAAGCTTTACTTTTAAAGTGGAACTGTAATTGTGATAGAGATTAAAATTTTTAGTACTGATAATTATAAAAGAACAATATGCAAATTAGATGAAGTGTTAATTTTAAGACTTTGACTGTTACTGAAGCGAAAAATGTAAAGTTTATGACATAATCACGTGTTGAGACACGTTGATATCTGTTGATCTACATGATCTTCTGGTGGTTCACTCATGAACTACCTGAGCATTTATTACTTTACCCCTCCTCTAGCGACATGCTTTCGGGTGCTACCTTATAGAACTATGACGAAAGCATTGCTAGGGTATGACATTCTATTTTGTCGCCAGAAGGCGTGTTGCAAGGGGAGGGGTGACTCTGGTGAGGCAAACTGGAACTATGACTTCACTATCTCTACTCCTTCCCCCGTATCCCCTGATGCAGCCACTCAGCGTGAAGCAGCATTCTATGGGTGGTCAAATGTACAATTAATCAGTAAATATCTTCTGTATCCCCTGTTCCACCAGTACTTTTCTAGGTTGATACCTACCAGTTCACAAATTCATATTTTTGCATTCATTTGTCTAATCAGACATTCACAGACACTACATCAGTTTTTAATACTAGCTGTGTGGATCTTAAGTCCGTATCTATATATAAAATTTCATTAGTTTTAAGCAAAGAGTTAGTAACTCAATCACGAAATGGCGAATGCATTTCAATGGCCACTTTCTAGTATATAACGTACTTGTACTATTTTCTTAACTAACCAGGTCTGTCGTCCTGACCTATCATTAAGCACACTCTCATAATCTCCGACATCCTCACACACTTACACCTGTGGCTTAGATGTTAATGCTTCAAGAATTTCAATATGCCCTGTCTCTTTACAAGGACCTATTTATTTTAACTTTGTTACCAGTAGCTTCTAAACTAGCTTTATAGTTACATGCTCGTATCTTCCAAGTCTGGCTGAATTTAGAAAAAAGGGCTGCTCCATAAAATAATTTTTCAACAGTGCTACAAGTCCCGGATCCCTAAGGGACTGACCAAATATTTAGAGCTTTTTTAACTCTCTCTATCCCAACCGATTCTTACACTAAACTACGTAGCAGCTACCATTGTATAGAATCGATTACAAACACGTGAATCCATTTAGAGTGAATAAAAGATCTTAAAAGTAATTTGCAATTTCTTGGAAAATGATTAGTTTAACTCTTGGTAACAAGAACAGCAGAATTTAATTCGAAGCTTAGAAGACATATTAACAAATGACAAATCCTAGATTGTCTCTAGAATTTCTTGAATATCTAGCTCATATAAGCCGAGTCGGAAGCGATTTAAGAACTTTACAACTTAAAGTAATCATGGGATACATTAAAAATAAAGAAGTAAAACCAATTAAATGCGATAATATTGAATTAGGTAACCTAATAGCAATAAATGATTACTGAACTTTTAAAATTATTTTTTGGTAAAATTTGCAGATTTGTAGGTATATATGTTACATGTTACATAAAATTTGGATATCATAAAAAGTAAAAAAAACATATGTTACATGGAAATTTGGATATCATAAAAGTAAAAAAAAACATATGTTACGTGGAAATTTCGATATCATAAAAGTAAAAAAAAAACATATGTTGTATGGAAATTTGGATATCATAACAAGTAAAAAACAAAAACCGTTCACCTTCTGCTGTAATATTCAAGTGTATTTATAGCCGCTTTTGAGCACAATAGATAAGCTTGCCGTTTTGACAATTCTAAACTGGAAATATGTTGTCCCCACTTAAACGTCTTCATAATAACACCTGCCAGAGCCAAGCTACGTTGGAAGTTACCTGCATAAAACATATTGAAATTATTCTCACCTGTTGCATCAAGAACTAAAATGCCTTCTAACACTAAAATGCCTATATTTCACACTATTTTAATGTTACTAAAAAAGTGTTAGAAAGCTATATTTGGAAGATGATAACCTAAAAAACACATATCTACATTTTCTGCAAGGAAACATTTTTAGCAAATTGTGTTGCCATTCTATGCAACAAGTTACCCTGTAATGCAACATTTTCCTTTATTATAGTGTTTTCGTATAATATTACACCCAATATTAACAATATATTCAATTAAGTTGAAAGAGTTACAACTATAAAATTATAACATGTGAAAAATTTAATTGTTTAAGATTGACAAGACTTTGGACGAAAGGTCGTTGAACAAGCTCAGCTGTGGTTTTGGGTCATTACATAAGTAATGGCCAATACCGTCATTCGATTCAAAGAGCCGAACAAAGAAACTGTGGTGGCATGTGCTGCTAGCTGGTGGCCTTCTCTCTCTGGTCAGTTTTCAAAATTAGGAAATACTATACTTGAATTCCTGGGTTATATAACTTACCAGTTTAGCATAAAATAACGTTCGAGTTAAAAGTTCCAGTTTTGTATTATTTGTTAACCTAGGTAGCGAACACCCTTTCTTATGGTTTCCACTTCCTATATTTTTATAAAAATTAGAGTTTTTCATGAATGTTGTGTCCTGTATTGGTACGTATGCCCACAAAGTTATCCATAATTAACTAATCTATAACATAGACAGAGCTTTAGCTGATATCTCCACGACGTCATATTCAAAATTATATGATATCAACCTTTTCATTGACACTGAGCTTAAGTCTGTTCTGTTAAACACATTGAAGAATAAAACAGACTTTGTTAGGAATATATGATACGAAAAATACTCACGTTTGCTAATTTCTACCTGAAGTCCATTGGCTACATCAGCTATTCCACTAGCTGTGTCATTTTGTGGGCATTCTATAGTCACTGAAGTTAACGAGTCACTACAAAGTTTATTACAATCACACACATAAACAGAGACGAACAGTATTTCTTTCGTATTTTGTCCTGTTTTAAAGAAAATCATAATGAAAAGCGTTTTATTCTACCAGAATTTAAGTTGTTATTGAAATTTCTTTAAACATTAATGTAAAAACACTAATTTTTGAGCTGGATAAACAGATAATCTGAAGCTCTATGTACATTTCCCCCAAGTGGCATAATTGATATTTCTGTGGACTTGTACTGCTGAAAACCGAGTTTCGATACATGTGGTGGATAGAGCAGAAATAGCCCTTGTTGTAGCTTTGTGCTTAATAACAATCTTTTACCATTTTTTAAAATTTTTATTGGACGTTCTTTGGTAAAATTATGAAAAATAAAATATTTGGGTAAGTTAGAAGTAATATTCAAATTTTTTGTTGTTAGAAAATTATGTCCATCTTCCAAAATGTGACTACCTACAACTAAAAAAATAATTATTTATATTTTTGTGCATTTAAAGCATGCAAGTATGGAACATTTCAAAAGTAGCAAATTGTGGAAAGACTTTTTTGCAACTCTATATTTTATCGGTTTATTTCCTCGACAGGAAATACATTATTAAATACAATTATTTATTAAGCAAGATTATAGAGAAGTATATTTAATTTTTTCTAAGCACCCCCCCCCCCAAGTGGCACAGCAGTATATCTGCGGACTTACAACGCTAGAAACAGGGTTTCAATACTCGTGGTGGGCAGAGCACAGATAGCCCATTTTGTAGCTTTGTGCTTAACTTCAAACACAAACAAACAACAACATTTCTAATATTCTAATGTATAGTATGGGAGAATTGCCTGAGGGTGGCTATTCTGCAGTGCTTTATTAAGATTCTGCAATTTAGGAAATTGACAATATAAGAAACATAACATTAGAGTTTGTGGAAAGGAACAGGGAAATAGACCTGGACTAGCCCAAGAGTTCGTGGTGGGTGGTGATGACTAGCTGCCTTCTCTCTATTCTATCACTACTAAATTATGGACGAATGACGAAAATAGCCTTCGAGTAGCTTTGCGCTAAAGTCAAAAACAAAAAAAACAAGACATGCTCCTAACTCGATCACTTTCATTGAGAAATATGGAGAAGATAAAATCTTGTATGTCTCTTCTCCTTCATTCAATTTGAAAAGTCCTAAAGAAATGTAAATATAGGAAACCTTTAGACTATCAAAATGGTAATGTATAACAATATGTATTTAGTAGAGGAATAGGGTCAACACTGTCCAAAAATGGTTGTGTATATGTGTTAGCATATACTCCAACAAATATAATTTAAAATGTTTAGAAATTGTGTGAACAAAAAACTTCATATTCCTAAACTAAAAGAAGGATTGGTTGTTTTTAATGAACCACAAAGTTACATAGTGAGCTATCTGGGCTCTGCCCACCACGGGTATCGAAACCCGGTTTCTAGCGTATAAGTCCGCAGACATTCCGCTGTATCAGTGGCGGAAGGCTAAAAGAAGAAAAGTCGGTTTATTTAATATCACACAATTTAAAAAATCGTTCTAGCTTAAATATGACATAAACTCTTGAAAATAACTCATATTTTGATAATCAGAGAAGGTCAAAACTTAATTTAATTTATTGTTTTGTTTGTTTGTTGTTGTTGTTGTTTTGGGGGGTACGATGAGATAGATTAATAATGGTGAATCGTTCTAGCTTAAATATGACATAAACTCTTGAAAATAACTCATATTTTGATATCATCAACCAAAAATATAATCAGAGAAGGTCAAAACTTAATTTGATTTATTGTTTTGTTTGTTTGTTTGTTGTTGTTGTTGTTTTGGGGGGGTACGATGAGATAGAATAATAGAAAATTTGGTAATTGCTGTGGATTACAAAAGATGAAAAACATTAGCCTCATACTGATTACTTAAACCCAATAAAAGTAAAACGTACCACAGGGCATTCTCACGTTATCTATACGTGGAATGTGACCTTTCACTTCTGCTATGGTTATCTCTTCAGGGATCTTGGATCTCCTGTAAACAAATCTGTAACTAAGAGGATGATTATCAACTTCCGTGAACCAACCCTGAGTAGCATCCAATGTGAATGGCGTAGTTAAAGCAAGACCAGATTTGGGTGAAACCTGCATTATAACGAAAATTCGTAAGTTATCAAAATATAGAGCGTCCAAAGTAAGATGAAATTTCAATACAACAGTTAAAATTGAAAGTAAAATAATCACCAATTTATTCTGGTGAAAAGAAAAACGTAATAAACATTATAAAATGTATCCATTTACTTCGGGCTTAAAAAGCTCTTCTTTAAAAATAAGAACATCAAAAAATATGCACACCCGATTAAGTTATAAAATGATTATACTTCAAATGATGTATTTAAATTAGTTTTAGGTATTATGACTATTATTTTGTACTGTTTACAGATAATGACATTGTATGAAATATTTTTTATTAAAACATCTTGGGACTTTACAAATGTAAAATACAATTGAAAACAGTATCACTCAGAATCTTGCTCTTTTGGATCTTGTGTTTATAGTTTTTGATAGTTACATATATGTATTCTTAGGAAGGGTGTGCGAAGATGTTTAGATACATATACATTTTTTTATATTTGAGTATGCAAGAACGTTTATCCAAAAATAAAAACCCATTACTCTAACCAATGTGAATTTCACAGATAACTTTACTTACTCCATTAAGTGTTCACCCATCCTTACAATTTATGAAGAAGGACAGAGAGTCATTCGTAGACTAGCAAGTGTGAATTACAACGTTATCAATAGTACATGTTTAAATAGTAAAAATATTGTATACATATTAAAGACTTCGTGTGTTTTTTTCACCAGAGGTGAAATTGAAAAGCTAATCTGTGACGTAGAGGCCTAATGCATTCTTTCATTGGCAGTACCCTTTGCTGTGGACTGCACTTAATGATATTTCTTTGGTTTGCTCACTCAAGCTATGCTGATGAGCCTTGAAGAGGTGAAACTGCAGTCCACAATAGATGGTACAGTGAAGTATAAAAAAATCATTAGACCTCTACGTCACATATTCTCATTTCAATTTCACTTCCAGTGAAAAATAAAAGAAATGTTTAACATATATATATATATAGAAAATTGAAGGATTTTTCAAGAGCCAAAATATTTTATGTATACATTAATCAGTTTCATCACTGGGTTACACTGGTTAATTGAACATCGGTTTTATGCATTCCACCTCTTCAATGAAGTCAAATGGGATTAAGATGGTACAACACAACTACCACATTCATGTATGCTTACCTTAATGACGTTTTATCTAAAAATAGAGCTTTAATTTCTTACCTTTAAAACACCATTTCTTGGAGGACTTTTATATAATATTTCCACACACTGGCCTTTTTGTAATAACTGGTACGAGTATCGAACAGCCAAACATTTTATTTGTCCAAATTCTTTATAAGGTAATGAGAAATAGTAAAGAGGAACAGATACGTAACCACGGAAAGTGACAGTTTTATGATTTGCAATAAACCTGGTCCTGTAAAAACCTGAAAATAAAATTATTTATTAAGTTAGAGATTTTCTTTTCATATTAGAACTCGGTGCTACAAATTCAAAATATAATTATAAAGCAGTTGAGTATGTTATAACGTATTTGGACTTCACCACGACATTATAGTCCATATTGTCATGCCCAGTCATGCTGTATCTTATGACCGTGGATTTTGAAATAGCACTTGCAAAATAAGTTCTATTCCTTAAGACTTTGTCGTACCGCTATCATGTTCCAAACACACCACCACTCCTCCTTCTTTGCTTTCCATAATTCATGTTATGCACGAGGATTATTGGTTCTTAACATACGCTTCAACATAATGAGTGCAAAAAAATCCTAGGTGCTGCATCCAGTGATTAAACCAATATGTTTTTGTATGGGATAATATTAATATCAGTCCTATTTTTTACATGTCTTTATTACAAGTTCTAGCAAAAAATGAAGATGTAGAAAGTAATTATTTCAACTGTCTTCTCTTCAGAAGAATAACGATTTTACTCTCTGGTTTAACTTTCCTATCAATAGGAATATGTAATATGTTCTAATTGTTTCAGAACTTCATACTGAAGCATGTTTTCTGCTACTTTATGTCACAGATGTTCATGGGAGGTTATGATATACTCCACTTTTCTAATCCTTTACAAAGTAAATCTAATTTTTTATTAATTATACTATAGTACAGTCTAGCTAGAATTTCACGTACCTTTAAATAGGTCGTGTTTGCATTAATTATTCAGTTTTGATACAAAATCAATAAGATTCACAAGAAAATCTCGCGAATTATGGAAGATGATGCAAGCACAAGGAATACCTACCTTTTGGACATAAAGTAATATAAATCATTTATTCAGATTTGTTTTCAAGTTGATAGAATTTATTTTTGTTGTTAAATTTAAATCATATGACTAATGTATGAGCTCGAAATGGTTGATTTGCCACATATTCACATAATTTTAGAACAAAACAGATTCATAGTATATTAAATGCTTGCTGGAGACATATATATATATATATATAGTAATATCATAGTTAATTTGTAAAACCATGGGTAAAAGTATGTAAAGTGACTTCAAACATTATTGTTAGTTAGCATAATTAGATATTTCAACACAATTAACCATACGGGGGGGACAGGGTAGAGATGATGACGTCATGGTTACACAAAGGGTCACCAGAGGGCATGCAATAGGTTTTGGTAGAGATGGTGATGTCACTAGAGACAGTGAAGTCATAGTTCCACGAAGTGGAACAAGAGGGTTTGTTGCTAGAGGCGGTTTGCTAGGCTACCATTACAAGCAGACATGACGAAAGAAGTTGTCTAGTAAATTTGTTGCTAGTTCCACAAAGTGGAACTAGGGAGGAATTGGTATGATGTCAAAATAAAGTGTCTCAACGTGTGATTGCATCATAAATGTCTAGATTCAATTATGTTACAAGTAATATCATTATTTTAACGACAAACTTACTGTTTCACCAGCTTGGCTTTATACTATCTATATAACTATGTTCTTGAGAAAAAATATTTCATTTTATACATATTACTTTACAGTAAGAAATAAGCTCTACTAGAAAAGAGCTAACAACAGCAATTGTTGCTTACATAGATCCTTTAAACTCAACTGACTTATAAAGCTAAACATGAAAATAGGCATCCTTTTCAGGACAAATCGTCTGATATACAGTAACACTGATTTTAGTTGTTACCATAACATTGTTTCATATCCATTAAACATATTTCCTGAGTCTATGGAAATTATAACATGAGATAATTAAACTGAACTTTGACCAATTGTTCACTATTATTTTATAAAAACAAAATATTACATACTAAGTTGGAATGAACATAATTTGTATGAAAGCTAACCCAATAAAATTATAAACTATGATGCATATAGTATTTATGATAGAATATCGGGCTATGATGAAACGTCAGTTTTACATAAGAACACTGAATGATATAATTCATGATACTGAAAGTCTTTGAAACAATCACTTCATTTGTAATTAAAGGCCCTTATGCATTTGGAAAACTAATAAGTTTAAATGAAATATATAAAAGTATAATTTCTGTTTTCTAGAAATGAAAGCATTGAAAGTTTGCTTGGTTTAGGCGAACACAAATGTTAAAAAAGAAATATTGTGTCAAGAGCTTTTTATTATGTTAAATCAATAAAAGTGTTACATGTAATTAAATCTAGACACTTTTGATGCATTGAGACAATGCACTCATCATCTTCCATTTTTAGAAATACTACTCTTAGTAACACCATCTGTATTTGTGACAATGTGACGACCTTTATATTTCCTAACAGTCAAAGTTTATCGAGCTAGCAAGTGTTATCGACCTCATACAGTCTCATAGTTTTACGACATTTTAGTCTTCAAGTGAATACTCTATAGAAAATGTATGAATAAACAGTAAGTCATTAATTTATTATATTTAGTTGTAACAAAATAAACGTCCTTTTCAGGACAATAAAATTGTGTAAGGCAAATTACTGGTTATAATAACTGCCTAATTCAAATAATGGAGAATATGTATATTACAATAGTTGTCTCATTGAACTGTGAAAGTAAAACAACAGGTATCCTATGGAACATTGTCTGCTTAAAAAGAAAAATAACATAAATGAAATTAATTTTTTTAAGAACATAGCTCTATACATTATGACGGATTTACTATTATATATATGTTTTATAATCGATGTTTCTTTAAATTAGATTCATGTTTAAAAATGTACATAATTTATAATATTAAATATGTATTGTGAAACTTCCACCTATTCTCTAAAGTTGTAGAAGATTCTCGAGTGTAAGAATCAACAATATATGTGTGTACGTAAATGTTAGCATTAGCATCAGTATTGGTACATAAACTGAATTTTCGAGAAACTTTCCACACGCCTATAAATATAACTAACGCGACGAGCCAAAAAACAGTATTTATTATTCGTTTGCTATAGTTGGTGTGCTATAAACTTCAGAAGCTATAACTGTGATTGTTATAATACTTATTAATTGATAAATCTCAGATATTTGACCAGGAACATTTGTAAAGTTCAAACATTACAAATTAATTAACTTCAGTGGATTCACATCGGACATTAGTACTTTTACGAAGATATAATATAACTTCAGCGGTAAAACAAACTTTACCTGTAATCGACCTGTGATCAATGAGGACTACAGAGAACTACTACCTCCCCATTAAGTGATCTGTACGTACATCAACTCGCAATTAACTCCAGACTAGAAAGAAAACTTTATATTGCTTTTAAGTTTGTAAAACTTTTGTATATAAATCATTATTCGTAATAACTATTTGTAATAACTGTTATTGTAAATTATATTATTGGTTGTATATCAAAATATATTTGTATTAAAAACGAAAACTGTTTGTATCAATCTAGTTGGCAAATATCATAAATTGGATATATATATGGGCATTTATTTAACAACTAAATTTAAATTATCATTTAGCTCGGTTTCGGACCATTCGAAATTGTAATATGTAACAATAGAAAGACAAGCTAGTGAAAGTGCATGATATTTAAATATTTGTCCTTTTCAGGACAGTAATTTTAAAAAGTGTGCTTAAATATAGAAACTATAAGCTATAATCAGTATGTTAAATGTGTACTAAATCATACAAACACGTTTGGCTGTGTTGTTCAATATTTATAAAAAAAAACATTAGGTGTGGTAACACTTCATTGAATTGAATGTATTAGTAACACTATCGTTCTATACAAACACAAGTAAATGAAAAATAAGATGAAACATGTTGAAACCTGCTTGCTGTACTATGGAAGTATAGAAACACTTTTGTGAAACATATGCAATTGAATATAAGATAAAATCTGTATACAATCCTGTTAAACACTATCTTCTTTTATAAGACCGTCCATCTATAGCAACACAATCCACCTAGCAACACCATCCATTTGTACAAACACTATCTTTAGTAACACTGTGTGGCTTTTCAAACATATTTCAGTTAAAACTATAAAGTACCTACCATGTGTAAAAATTAAATATTTTGTCAAGAACATAGTTATATGGATAGCATAATGCCAAGCTGGCGAAACAGCAAGTTTGTCATTGAAATAATTATTTTACTTGTAACATAATAAAATCTAGACATTGATGATGTAATTTCACTGTGTGTTAACATCACACCAATGCGTCCTCTAGTTCCACTTCGTAAAACTAGCAACACATTTACTGGACAACTTCTTTCGTTGTGTCCGCTTGTAATGGCGGCCTAGCAATAAACTCTTTGGTTCCACTCACTCACTGATTATGACTCATTGTCTCTACCCTACGTACTGCGCGCCCTATAGTAACACTTCGTGGAGCTATGAAGTCATTGTCTCTACCCCTCCATCTTAGGCAGCCACACAGCGCGTATGCCCAGAGTACAGAGATAACTAGTCAGATGGCCAAAATGTTCTAGTTTTATATAGCACCTACAATTTTAAGCTAATAATATATATTAGAAATAATCAGTTTTATTTGAGAAAAGTAAAAATAACTATATTTCAAAATTGAGAAAGATGTGTATTCATTAATATCTTAGGAAACAAACAGATGATCTGATCTAATATATAACACAGAATTAAAAATAACTATTAAAAAGGGTATGTTCATAAATATTTATTGCCCAGTGAATACTGTACACTTGATTGTTAAGTTCATTAATTTTTGATAAGGTAAACAGTAATTTTCATAATATATAATACAGAAAATTAATATAAATTTAAATGTGTAATTAAGATTGCCTTTTTTTAATTATTCTTTAACCTCCAATGTGTAACATAAACCATATTTTTGTGTGATTTTGCAAAAAATACGAAAGCATGGTATTTTCTTGTCCCACGGTAGAGGATATTCTTAGCTAGTCAAAAGTTTGTTTAGTTTCTTAGTGGTAATAATAATAAACTTTTGAAATAAACCATGAATATATTTACCATTTTCCATTAATTTCCAAGCGAAAAATTTATAGGTATTGCTACGAACAATAGCGTTTAATAACGTGCTTTGGTCAGGTTCAGTAACACGTTGAATGATTACTTCGACACCATCATTCTTTTCTTTAAGTTCAACAACACATGTGTGAATGTTCTTCCGAACGTCTTTGGACACTGTAAGTGTGAACTTGTAACTAGGAAAAAAAAAAAAAACGAATACGTCAAACTTTTACTTT